GGCACTTAGGGCAGGCATTGATGCCTCATGAGGAGCTGATTAGAGTTTTCTTCGCTGGCAAACAGGAGGGGGAGTTGCAATTAAGGCTGAGGAAGAAGCAGCAAGTGGTAGGCATTCGCCCTTTGGCCTTCTGCTATGTTAGACCATCGCCATAATTTCTACAAGGCAAGAACCTTTCAGGTACGGCGTGCTTCTTGATTCTCAGCCTGTGTGCCAATTGGCTCATGGAAGGGTGACCTGGCTTCTCTCTTCCTTGGGTGCTGCATGGTTGGGCAGCTTATAGGAAGGGTGAATTGGGTTCTTGTACTCCTCCCAAACCCATTGTGACTGCTACCGACTCATGAGAAGACTGAACCGCTTTTCTCTCTATTTTTGTTAAAGAGGTTGAACTCAAACTCCAGGGCTCAACCTGTCTTCCTACGTCAGCCTCCTGAGTAGTTGGGACTGCATGAGCATACCAGTACCCTGACATATGTTTGGTTTTTAACAAACATTTTAGGCACATTTTGAGGTATTGTCTTCACATTCAACAAACAAGTCTCTTTTTTAGAGGAGACTCCTGCTTGCTACCATCTGAGCACTGAGGAATGTGTGAGGTTTTTTTTACTCAGCTTCACTAAAGCTATAGGATACCAGAAAGAAGCTGCTTTTTGGAACAGCCAGGTGACTGGCTCCCTGGGGCCCAAAGCGGCACTCTCCCCACCCCAGAAGAGAACCATGGGGGTTCTGGATTTGACGAAATTGGGGAAAGTAGGCGCTGGAGCAGGAACTCGCTCTGTGCAGCTGACACCCAAACTGGAAGGAACCTATTCTACCTGAGGCAAGTGTGGAGCCGCTTCAGCCGCGCGAGACTTTTCTACTGCTAACTCCCTGAATCTCTGGGTCACAGGCAGTGCTGGGGGTGGACATGCAAGGTAGTGGTGCGGGAATCCCTCCGGGAAGGGCAGCGGCCAGCTGGGCTTGCTGAGAAAGCGAGTGCTGGTGCACCCAGCAGCCCCGTAGCTTGCAGTCCCATTTGCATTGCAGCAAAGTGCTGGGGTTCCTTAGGCCAGGTGCTCTAGAGCAGCACAGGTGGAGGGACCAGGAACTAGGGCCAAGGACCCAGGGGGCACTGGCGAGGGTGGCTAGCTTGGGACAGTGAATCTGTTACCTCCCGTGACCCCCAAGCCCAGTAGGCCAGAGAGCAGGGCACGCCAGGTAAACTTCTTGAATCAGCGGGAAAATTACCCATTTTTCAAATAGTCATGAGTTTTGCTAACTCCAGGTTCAATCTTGTAAGGATGTTGGTTTCCATTGCTTTGATAGTATTGAACTATTTTACATAGACCTGCAAAAGATGATGTGTATAATGTCCTGTAGATGTGTATAATGTCCTGTAGATGTTTTTCTCTTTAGTCTTGACTCAAGTAGCTTAGAAAAGCTTCTCCTTGTTGATATACTTTTAACTGTAACTAAGGGAAAAGAAACCCAGCCTTTACCCAAAGAAGACACCAAAGAAAATAGGCACTGTTCCCGGCAATTCAAATGTTCACCCATATACACTTGGTGGATCATTATCAGAGATAATAGTCTCTAGATTTTAGGGTTTTACCTACAGCTGTCTAACTCTTACCTTCCTGGTGCTGATGATAGTGATAATCTTACTAGTGTGTATTGCTGGTGGATTCAGAGTTCTTAAGTTCTCTGAGTAAGTGAAACTGTTCTTGACCAATGTTACAGTGATTTGACATTTTAAGTTTTTTGAAGCAAGGTTTCACTACATAGTTGAGGCTGGCCTTGAACTTGGCCATGTAGCCCAGGCTGACCGCAAACTTATTGCAGTCTTTCTGCCTCAGCCTTCCAAGTGCTGAGACTACAAGCATGCATTACAGGCATATACCACCCAGCTGACATTTTGACTGTTAAGAATGATAACAGGTAACAGCCAAACTGATATCAAGGACCACTTGAGACTTAGGTAAATATATCACAGAAGTACAGGAGACTCTTTTCTGTTTTTTTACATTTTCGTATTATTCACTGGTTTCACAACCACCAACTAATAAGGTGCCAGCAAAATTCATTCAGGTTTTCTATTTGTGTTGTAACTAGGTGGCTCCCAGTACCTATCCAAGTATTTTTTGCCTTTTCCTGGGTAGTTTCTTTTTCTCATGACACTGTGACCATAGGAGGTTGTACTATGATTTAACATGCATGCATAATGCTTTTTCCTTCGTGTTTTGTGTCCTCAGGTGATAATGTCATTGCAGAGATGTGATGTTATCTATAAGACGTGCTTTTAAATTTATGTTTTACCTATTTGTTCTGATGAATGTAAGTTACAAAAAAGCTGGTAGTTGGACTTGGTCACTGCTGTATCCTTAGTGTCTAGGATGAGGCTAAGTGTACCTTAGCTCTCTAGACATTTTTGTTGGATGAAAATATGATGGCATTATTTCTCTGTCTTGGATCCTGTTGGAAGAATTACTGTTTTAGACTGTTAGTTTCAGGAAATCAGATTCAGTCCAGCTTAAAGAATAAACTTACAGTTTTGCTTAGCAGAAAGCCCCATATTAGCATGGATTTCAGGGCTAGTTGGTAGCTTAGCATCATGAGCTCTGCTATCTCTAGGGTTAGCTACCTGTGAGTTGAACCTGCCTGGTCATAATGAAGCTGCCAGTAGCAGGGTGCAGCTTTTCTGTTCATATCCATTGGGAGACAGGGAGAGATGGGCTTCCTGGATTGAATTTGGCTATATTTGTACATTTTAGAACCTGAATGTATGAGAGTAACATCATATGGGGAAGATGAACGTCTTAAATTTTCTGGTTAGAGTCTTAAGAATTTAGAGATATAAGAGTAATATAGGTAACAGGCTTGTGGAGCTCTTTTTCTAAAGGTTTAGAGAAAGGTAAGAATTCAGCCTTACTTAGACATGGGAAGAGTTGTATGGAAGGGCTAATTTTCATTTTGAGTTTTCCACTCCATCTTTTAGTCTGATTTGCTAACTTTTCAAATCTTTTAGTGCCTTAAAATAATATTACATATAATTGAAGTTGAAACAGAAGTGGCCTGTAGTCTTGGGGTCCAAACAGTATCTGTTGCCTTAAAAAAAAAAGTGAAAATAATATAAACATATTGTTGAAAGTACATTCAAACACAGAAAGATGTAACAGGGCTTATTAGTGATGTGTCACTCACACAGTACTGCCACATCTCTCTTCCTGGAGTCTTGAGTCCTTAGTAGGTAGCATGGTGGTACACCTGTGAAGTGTGTATGCGCAGCACATTCTGCTTTGCCTCATTTTGACACAAACTCAACTGTCTAAGCAGTTTGTTGCTAAACCTGATAGGGACCTCTTTGAGCTAAACAGAGAAGATGTATCTTACAAGCTAAGAGGCTTTTTTTGTAATTTTCTTTTGATAGGCTTTTGAGCTGGTCGGAGAAACAGCTGGTTTGTGGCATGCTGATGTTTTCTCCAGGAAATGCTTGTAACTTGTCTACGTGTCCTCTGGGGGCTGCTGGTATTATGGTTTTTATCTGGATGTCCCACCAAAGCCTCAGACTTTGAGGGCAGGCTTCTAGAGTTTGTGATTGATTAATTCATGATCCAGTGTTGGGATTATGGGTGTGAACACTATACCCAAGTGAGTGTGGCCTACATACACTATAAGGGACAGAAAGAGTCTTTTGTCCATGCCCCTCCCTTTTTGCTCGTGTTGCTTTTGTTGTTTGCTGCTGCCATGAACTGTTGTCCTCTGCCATCTGCCACTGTGCCATGGAGCTAGCTGATTATGGACCAAAACCTGTTGTGTTTCAGTGATGAGAAAAAACCACACAGCTGGTGGGGTCAAGCAAAATGAAGCCTATGTCTCTTAAGATGGCAGGTGGGCTTATTCAGAACAGTGGTGTCCCTGTCTGGGCACTATGATTGTTTCTTCTGCTTGATGATCTACCACAGGCGGAGGTGTCTGCTACGTATTCCTCTGTTGTATGCCACTTACCCTGTGCCTATGTTTTTGTTTTTATTTTTGTTTTTGTGAGAAGCATAACATTGCTGGAAATATCTTTGTACATAAATGTTGAACCTTTGCAGATGTATCAACAAGACAAATTCCTAGAAGTGGTAAAATAATTGGGTAGAAACTTATAATTTTGACAGATTTTGACATATTCCTCTTCAGAAGGATTATAGTATGTTTCTGAGCCTGTCAGGTAGAATTAATTTTATATTTTTGAATTTTGTTCTTGAATTCAGAGACAAATTGAGTATCTTTCTGTGAGTTTGTGGGTGTTTTTTTTTTTTTTTTTTTGGTGAACCTGCGAATAATTACCCTTTGGTATATGAGAGCTTTGTAAGTGGAGGAAATACACTCAGTGCTGCTGTTCGGTTTATTTTATTTTATTTTTTTGTCTTGATTTGTGATTAGTCATTTTTACTTTTTCCCCCATGTAGAAGATTTATATTTTAATGATGTTAAAATTTTCAACCTTTTTCTTTTGTTTTTTGTTTTTTTGAATCAGAATCTCACTGTGTAATTCAAGCTGGCCTTGAACTCACTGTGTTGCCCAGGTTGGGTTTGAACTCACTGCAATCCTTCTGCCTCAGCTTCCTGATTGCTGGGATTACAGCAGTGTACCACCATGCCTGGCTTCAACCTTTTTCTTGACTCCTGGTTTTTTACTGTGATTGACCATTTTGCTGACACCACTGTAGGATACAGTGGTGAATGTAAAGCTGAGGCAGCTGAACACTGAGTCCCTGGGCATGTCATCAGAGCTGAACCTCAGTGTGCCAGGGATGCTGCATGTCTGGTAAACACAGCAAGGTGAGTGATGAAGCTGAAACCTAGACTAGGAGGAAGGGCTAGGAATTTGGACCCACTGAGGAGATTTTTCATAAATGTCAGGTAACCAGTCCGTGAGGTCAGATGCTTCTGGGCTGTTCCTTGGCCTCCATTGAGGAGGACAAGGATTGAGACTTGAACAAATTTGAACCTGCTTGTTTCTTGTCCTGTAGGTAAAGAGATGGCATTTGTGAAGAGTGGATGGTTACTGCGACAGAGTGAGTACTGTACATGTGGTTTTTCATTTAGGGTGGCTTGAGGGAATATCTTTATTTCTGTTTGCTGAAAAAGATCATGTTTAAAAACAATATAAAGTTTTACTATGTTGCTGCCTTGAATTTTCCTCTTGGGAGCTAATAGAACTGTAAACTATCTTTCTATACACAGGAAACTCCTTAATTGCTAAGTTTGTAGGAACCAGGAAAAAATGGCAATTCCCTCTACTATCTTTTTCTCTCCAGCATACTTTATGATTGACTTGAGTTGCCTGAGTCTGGCCACACCAAGCTACTGCTGTATCAGCATTAACAACTTGTGGTGTTTGTCGTGTCTAGTGTCATCACATAGACCCATAATAGACATTTCTGGTCTAGGGATGTAGCTCACTGGTAGTGTGAGGGCATTTGTAACCCCAAACACCCACTACTTGCTCTTCTTTTTTTTCCTTGAAACCTTCCAAACCTTTGTCTTGAAATCTTCACTTACTTTATAGCATATAGATTATAGTCTAAATGCTTAACTAAGCAGTTAGACACTAGACAGCAAGTGCACTTTGGCCAACTTCCCAAAAGGCCTCATTTCCCCTAATTGGCCATAAAACTACAGAAAAGGGAACAAATGGTTTTATCTGTTTGTTCAAACTGCCTGATGTCTACCTCCTATGTGTCAATTAACTGGATATGTAAGAAGCTCTTATAACAGTCCAGAGTAATTATGGTGTTGTAAGACGTGGTATCAGTCGCAACCCTCTGACCTTATGAACCTGCACGTTGGTATAGAAAGACAGGAGAGTGAAGGATCGAGGCCAGCAGCTCCAACACCTGAGCTGACTGCTTCAGCTTCTAAAATAAATCTCACTTGTTTCTTGACTCTTAAGTTTCCTTTGGGTATGTCTCTTGAGTGTGCTGTTTCAGCAGCGCACTTTGATAGCATATACAAGCCTCCAAAATCACAATCTATCAATCAATCAATCAATCAATCAACCAATAAAAAATAAAAATTTTAAAATGGTATTAAGTTGTGCAGATAATTCCAATTTCCTGGATCACGGCCATTTTGGAGGTGTATATTTAGAAGGCTTACTCTGTAGCCCCATTATCCACTGTGTGGATTGCTTTGCTAAAAGCAAGAATATCAGTCTCAGCAATATAAAATGAGATACGTTGCATTCACTGGGTTAGAGAACAGCAGAGATATACCAGTGATTATGTGTAAGTCAAGTGGTTCCCAGGATTCCTTTTCCTGCGGTTGCCACCTAGACTGCTAGGACCTAGTACCTAACCACTGGAGGACAAACTGATCTGCAAGTCTGCAGCCTGGGTTCCCAACCCAGTGATTTCTCTTGTTGGTTTTTATGCCTCAGCTTGGTGGTTTCTGTGTAGCTCAGGAGCTGCTGTTTACATGGATGCTGCGTGTTGGTATTAATGAGTGCAGGCAGATGCTGCAAATATTCCCGCCAGTGGAGAGGGTGCCCAGTACTGGTAGTAGGAAACTGTTAGTTAGCTGTCACATCATCTGGTCAACACCAATAGCCGGTATGGAACATAAGCATTACATGGAATGGGATTTGTGCCCCCCGAGCAAGGATAGTGTGGGGTCCAGAACAAAAGATGGAGTAGGCAGTGTAGTATGTGTATGTGAGGAATGTACCTGAGAGACTTGGAGCTGGAAACTGGCTTCAGATCCACAATAGGGATTCCCTCAGGTAGATACATTATAGAGTTAACTGTCTGGTCCAAGATTACAGCTGAAAAGGTGGAATCTCTCAGACTGACACAAAGAGGAGAGGCATCTTCATCAGGCTGTAGGCTTTCTGTGAAGGGAAGTCTAGGAAAGAGTACATGAAAGCTCTTAAGGATGAAGAAAATAAATATTTTTCTAGAAGAAGGAGGTCTTATTTTCATTTGAGACTTTATAGTTCAGCATTTGTAGCTCAATCTCATAAATTTAGATAGTGTTGGGAAGGCTTAGAAAGTTCAAAAGTTTATTGGAGAGGTGGAACAAGGTGTGAGTTGCACATATCTGTAATCCCAACTACTTGGAAGACTGAAGTAGGAGGATCCCAAGTTTGAGACTAGCCCAAGCAATGTAGCAAGATGATAATCTCAAAAATAAAAAATAGGAGCTGGGGATATTGTAGGGATTCTGCAAGCAAAGTACACACTAAGGGTCAGCAAAATGACTGCTGCCCGGCTAGCATAAGCAAGCAGCTTTTATTGAGATAAAGAACAAAGAAACTCATATTGCACATGCTTAGATTATATAACTTGTTTGCTCCTTGTCCTTATGGGACCTCGTGTTTTTGCCTTGGGGAGAGGGGAATGTTTCAAGCCCTGAACTTTCTACCAAAACACTGTCAATCAGATGTGTCTGGGACAAAATAGAGTCAGTATGGCCTCTCTATAGGATATGGCTCAGTGGCACAAGTACCTGTCTGGAAAATGTAAGGTTGTGAGTTTGATCCCTAGTACCAAAACAATAAAAATAAATAAAAGGGACTGGGAATGTAGCTTAGTGGTAGAGCAGCCCTAGGTTCAGTCCTTATTGTTGCCAAAAACAAAACAAAACAAAACAAATGTTTAGTTTGCTAGGCAGACTTGGGAAGTTAGATGTTAGATTTTTTTTTTTTTCTTTTCTTTTCTTTTTGGTACTGGGGATCAAACTCATGATCTTGCTTTTGTCAGGCAGGCGCTTAGGCTGCTGAGCTAAATCCCCACCCCTAAACTTCTTTCATTAGGTCAAAAACTAACCTTTTCTGTTAAAACCTAACTTCTTTTGGTGTATTTTGGAACTTGTCCTTTGATTGGTAGCCTCTAGTGTCATGCATGTAGTGTGATGCCTACAGTCCCGCTAATTGTAGCAGTGGTCAGGCCAGGCCGGTGTCTGCATCCATTTCCATTTCCGATACTTCAGGTGGTGGTGGTTTTGTGTAGGTGTGCTTTGAGGCTTAAGGAAGAGTTTCCTTTGCTTCTCCTGAGGACAAGGCTTTCTTCTTTGACCCAAAGAGCCAACTTTCCCCAATATTTTTACAGGTACTATTTTGAAGCGCTGGAAGAAGAATTGGTTTGACCTGTGGTCAGATGGTCACTTGATCTATTATGATGATCAGACACGGCAGAGTATTGAGGATAAAGTCCATATGCCAGTAGACTGCATCAACATCCGCATAGGGCCTGAGTGCCGAGGTAAGCCCTCTTTTTCATCCTGCTTCTGCAATCTGCCTTTCCTCAGGTGTGGTGATAACTGGATGATCTTCCCTTCCATTACAGACTGAGGAAAAGTTCTGTCCAGGATACAGCCACATCAGGGACCTGTGCATTAGAGAGTAGTCCTTGGTTGGGGGAGGTAGACTTTCTTATCCGAGCTAGGCCTTTTTATCTTGTGTCACTTTGTCTGGTGGAGAAGGAAGCAGCATTCTGGGAATCCCACCTAGGTCATGCTGATTTTGTGACTTAGAAACTGGCACGTGTTAGATGGTAGTGATTTGTGGTGTCATGGTTTCCAGGAGCTGTCATATTTGTTGTCAGTATAGCTGACCACTTTGTGTCTTTTTGGTCAGGCCATTAATTACTGTTTTATAGTCTAGTTCTTGGTTTGTGTGTAGTGTTGTGAGTTAGAATATATAAGGAAAAATATTTTTCTAAAAAACCATGCAGACTATGTAAATGATATTCCTTCTTTCTGCTTTTTTTCCCCATAGATATTCAGCCTCCAGATGGGAAGCCAAAAGACTGTCTGCTTCAGATTGTTTGCCGAGATGGGAAGACGATCAGTCTTTGTGCAGAAAGCGCAGATGATTGTTTGTGAGTTTTGATTTCTTGAATGTTTAATTTAGGATTTCAGTTTTCAGAAAGAGAAGAATGGGAGTGGAGTTTGCTTCAGACAGCAGAATAGGGGCTCGGCAGATGTGAGAGAAATGTAACAAGCATTTCTTGATCTAATTTCTGTCCCTCTTAGACTGCTGGGTAGGAACTCATTATGATGAAAATGACAGAAAGTAATCTTTACTTTGAGGTTTCTGTTTTTATTAGTGGGTAGTGGGCATAGGTGAATTTTGATCTTTACACATGTTTTCATTCTTTATCGTGGTGTCTGAGATTGAACCATGGGCTTTTCACATGCCTGGGGAGGCATTCTGTCACTAAGCTACATCCCTGCCCCTTTTAAACTTTAGTTTACCATAGGGTCTTGGAGAATTGTCCAGTCTGGCCTTGAACCTGGGATCCTTCTGTTTCTCAGCCTCCTGAGTAGCTACTAGTATGACTGGTGTATACTATAACCCAGTCTAAATGTTTTTTCTTTTTAATAATCATCAACATCCATGTTGTGCAGCTTCTTCTTTCGTGTGTGTGTGTGTGTGTGCATGTGCATGTGTGTGTGTGTGTATGTATGTGTGTTTAGGAGACAGGGTCTCACTATGTAGTAAAGGCTAGCCTTCAACTCACTGTGTAGCCCAGGATGGCCTCAGACTCCTGGTGATCTTCCTGCCTCAGCCTCCCAAGTACTGGGATTACAGGCATGGATCATCATGCCTGGCTAGCTTTTTCTTTTGTTTGGTAGTTATTGTCATTGCTGTCTCAGCAGAATGGTTGGGAAACTAAACCACAGGAAAAAACCCAGCCACACTAGGCCTTGTCCTGTTAACGTCAGCAGTGGTACTGGTTCAGAACCTTGAAAACACTTGACTGAGGTCAGTGTAGTGGTGAAACTGGATTTGTCTACCACTGCAGTGGGTGAATGCTGAACATCGTTGTGCAGGGTAACTGAAATAGTCGTAAGTAGATGACGTTTTTCACAGAAGCCCACGGGCTGTTTTATTAGTCTGTGCTCAACCTCATTGTAAATATTCTGTCAAGCTGGAGGAGTTATTTTAAATTTGCGATGTAGCTTATTTTCTACACTATTTTGATTTGTATTGTAACAAGCATGTTGTGGAACAGATACAACTTTCCTAAGGATTGGCAGAGAAATGACTGTATTAGGCTAATTTGCTACTTTTAAAATCTGGAACTTTGTCATTATGTCATATACCAAAGCTAACATATATTGATGACTTTGTGCTAGGCATTGAAGTGACAACTGCTTTACAGATTTTTTTTTACTTTTATCATTACATGTTTGTAGTACATATGATTGTATTTACTGTAGGGAATTGGTACACGTGCATAACACATTTTAATTGCTTTCTTTTCACCCTCTTCTTTCCTCCCCCTTTTAATTTTCCAACATCAGATTCATTTATTTGTAAGACCTTATAAAATTATCATATACAGATTGGAAAGAAGACTAATAGGCTAAAAGAACATATGAAACATGTGAGACAATTGTAGTAGGTCACAGTAGACTTTTAGATACAGAGTCAGATGTTTTTAATTCACTCCCTCTTATGAAATGGGTGTTATTGTTCCTGGTATAAGAAATTGAGCATAGGGGCTGGGGATATAGCTCAGTGCCACAGTGCCTGCTAGGCATGTACAAGGTCCTGAGTTTGATTCCTGGTAATCACCCCAGCGCCCAAAAAAAGATTGCGGAAGAGAGGTTAAGAAACTTCTGTGACAGTTTTATGCTCTCACAATTACCAAAAGTGTAGCAGCTTCAAACAATACGCCTGTATTATTACATTACTGGAAGTCATAAGTTCAACTTGGAAATCAGTTGCATGGTGTCTGTAGAACCTTGTTTTTCTGGAGTTTCTGGTGAGTGTCTGTTTCCTTGCCTATTTCATCTGGAGGTCCTTTGTGTTCTTTAGCTCGTGGGCTTTTTCTTAATTCTTACAGCCTGCGGCATGGCACCATGCTTCTCACATGGCCCTTTCTGCTCTGCAGGTCCAAAACCTTATATGCTTTTAGGGACTTGTGACTAAGTTGGGCCTACCTGGCTATTCCAGGATACTCTTCTCATGGCATGGTCCTTAACCATAATTATAGTGGCAGACTTCCTTTTACCTATGAGAAATATTCTTAAATTGGGATGTGGGCATTTTTGGGGACTTGTCATTTGGCCTGTCACACATTTACTGGCTTCAGAGCTGGCAGAGTAGACTCAGGATTTGGCTATGTAGCCCTTTGTCCTTAATTTCTTTGCTCTGCTGTTATTGAATTTGTAATAGCTGAATCTTGGAAACAACCCACATACCCATCAACTGAGGAATGAATAAAAAATATGTCATCTTTTTATACAATGGAGTACTACCCAGCCATAAAGAAGGATAAATGTGAGACTTTTATAGGGAAGTGGATGCAACTTGACACCATACTAATAAGTGAAATAAATCAGACTGTCATGTGTAAACACCATATTGTCTTCCTGGTTTGAGAAACTGAAACAGATAATAAGGTCCAAAATACACAATGGCTGTGATAAAATGGGGAGAACTATTCAAAGGAGAAAATGAACTATGAGAAAGGAAAGGGGCAAGGAGGGAAAGGAAAAGGAAAAAAAAATACAAGATAGTTTCACTACTAGTTTCTTTTAGTTCATTGAAAAGAAAGTTTTGTGATGATCATTTGGAGAATTTTTTATTCCCACATCTTGTGAGTAGCTACTTTAATGATAACAAGATGAGGGCTGGGGATATAACTTGGTGGCACAGATGTCTGCCTGGCAAGTGTAAGGTCCTGAGTTCGATTCCCAGTCCCCCTCCCCCAACCAAAAAAGGCAACAATATGCAATATATTAACCATTGTTATTCTATTTTCTGAAAAATTTTTTCCCTTAAAAAAATTAAACAGTAGTAAACATTGGCCAGGCTACAGGGGAAAAGGAACCCTTCTCCATTGTTGGTATGAATGTAAACTAGTGCAACTGGAAATCAGTATGGAGATTTGCTTACAAAAACTGAAACTACGAATTCCATTTGACCCAGCTATTGCTTTTCTTGGTATCTTTCTGAAAGAGTGGAAAGCATCACGTTACAGTGAACTGTGCATGCCTGTATTCATGGCAGCACAGCTCATAGCAGCTAAACCTTGGGAGCAACCTGTGTGTCTATCAACAGATGAGTGGATACACAGACTGTGCTATTTACAAGTCATGGAGTACTCGCTTTATATAGAGAACAAAATAAAAGGCAATAGGAAACAGAGCATCTCAAATTGGAAAGGAGTCCAGAGATGGAGAGAAGGGAAAGGACCGGGAAGGGAGAGGAAAAGAGTAGAAGGATAGAATTAGCTTGTGTTACATACATGTACCAACAAGGGACGGAAACATATACACTGATTCGTGTACAAAAATAAATAAAAGGAAGGGGATCAAAGATGTATGGAGGGGAGAGGAGAGAAGACAAAGGAGATGAAAGAAGGAATTAAGATGTGTTAGGTACATACACCAACTCTACAAAGAGTGCAAACATGTACCACAAATATATACTAATTTAAAAAAGTAAAAAAGAAAACAATATACAGTTATGCTATTTATTTTGCTGATAGGAAACAGGCTTGCAATAAAATGACCTAGGAAGACTGATTAGGAGATTTAGTTCTGTACAGTGTTCAGTTGTTGCTACTAAGTACTACAAGCCCAATAACTAGATGCCAGAAATGGATTCTGTGTTTTTGGAGGCCAGGATCCTAAAATGAGACCCATCTTAGCTTCTGATGTTGCTGCTGATCCTTGGTGTTCCTTGGGTTGCAACTGCATCACCCCAGTATCTGCTTCTCTTGTCACATGGTATCTGTTGTGTTTGTGTCCAGATTTCCCTTTTATATAGGACATTAATCATATTAAGGATCAGTATGATCTCATTTAAATTTGATTCTTTTTGCAAAGACAGTAATTACAAGTAATTTCACATTCTTAGGTAGTGGGACAGGACTTCAGTATGTCTTTTGAAGGGACATTATTTCCTGTATAGTAGAGTTTTCTTAGTAAAGATATTGAAATGAATCTGGATCATCTTTGCAAAGTGCCTAGGGAAGTAAAGAGCAAACATTTCAATGGCAACAGGCAATACAGAAGTTTGATTTCACATGCAGACTACACAGAGCCAAAGGAAGAACTGGATGTTTCTCCTGAGACATTATTGTCCCCTTAATCCCATCTCAAATCCCAGAAGCAGCAACAAAATGAGTTGATTAAACATTGTCTTAGTTATATTTCTCTGGTTGCTGAGACAAAATACCTGACACCAAAGTTAATTTAGCACACAGCTTATAGAGGCTTCATTCTGTAATCGACTGCTCCAAGGCAGGGTAGCTTGATACATTAGCACTGCAGAGAAGAAATAGTTCCTGGTGGGCAGAAAGTAGCAAAACAAGCAAGAGACAACCACAGCTCTTTCTATCCCTTACATCTTCCCGAGGCTGCTTGGGTAGCACTTGTACCTTTAATCCTAGAGCCTAGCATTGCACCACAAATCAGTCCCAGTGTTCTAGGCACCTCTAACCTGTGACCGCATTGAAGCTTTAAGGTTTTATGGGGAACATCTAAACACAAGCCATAATGTTCTGCCTCTGGCCCCCCAAAGACTCATGCACATCCTTTTATGTGAAAGGCACTTAGTCCATCTCTAAGAGTTGCCAGAGTCCTAACAGTTTCAGCAATGCCGAAAAGTCCGGGCCCCAAATCTCTGAGATTTAAGGCAAATTCTTAGCTGCTTGTACAACTGAAATGAAAGTTAAACGCTTCCAATGTTCAGTGGTACAAGATAGACATTTCCATCCAAATGTTAAACATTTCCAAATGTTAAAAATGAGGATACAGAGGAATGGGACCAAGGAAGTTCAAAATCTAGCAATTTTTGTTTAGAGAATGAACCGTAGTTGGGGCAGATGGATTTTCTCATCTGAGCTAGATCTTTTTATCTCATGTCACTTTGTCTGATAGAGAAGTAGCATGCCTTTGAACTCACTGTGTAGCCCAAGGTGGTCTCAAACTTAGTGGTCTTCCTGTGTCAAGCCCCTGAGTGTTGCATACAGATGTGTGCCACCACACCTGGCTAGGAGCATTCTTTCAATGGCAAAATTACACTGTAGAACTACTGACCTAAGAAAATGAAGTAAATGTGTATATGACACAAACTGGAGAGCAAGTTGCAGTACATTTTACATTTATTACAAAGTAAAGCAGGAGTATAGGAGGGAGTATTAGGTAAGGTAGATAGGATCAAAGTATGTTATATATGCATATGAAAGTGCCATAGAAAAGCTTAGTATTCTGTAAAGTTAATATGCAATGATAAAAATGCATATTGAAAGAATGTAAAAGTAAAGTGAATATTAAATAGTACACGTTATGTTCTAAATGTTAAATCTCTTCCACAGATGTATTTTAAAAATACATATGTATTTGTAGTGCTGGTTTTGAATGAGTTGAGTGGGTCCTGGGGCAAGACCTGAAGAACTGTGCCCCTCCCCTCTTACCCCCTTGCCAGTGGTAATTGAACCTGGGAGTACTAAGCTGTACCCACACTCTTTTTGTAAAACAGGGTCTTAATAAGTTTTTGGATTTAAACCTATGGTCCTCCTGCCTCAGCCTTTCTGAACAGCTGGCACTGTGAGGATGTGCCACTGTGCCCACCTCCCAAATAACTGTTCGTTAAACAAGATTTTTCAAGAATTCTGATATTAATGTAGATTTTGAAAATCATTAAAATGTTGAGTTGCCTCACCTAAGAATCTTTTCTTTTCTCTAGGGCTTGGAAACTTACACTGCAGGATTCCAGAACAAATACGGTATGTTCACCACTAATAGCAGTCACCAGTAATGTGATCTTGTAAGGAATCTTGTGTAACAGATAGGAGCTAGGAGTGTTGCAAGAAAATTTCCAAGCCAAGCCAAACCAAACCGAAAGGATGATTCTTTGCACCAAGAAGATAAGAAATCTTTATGCCAGCAGACTGTGTGGGATAATTATACAAAGGCAACACCCTTGAATTTAGGACAAGTTTAGTTTATCTAGAATTCAGAAGTGGAAGGTACAAAGCAGGTGACAAAATGTTATGTAATTGGTTACATGCATTGACTTATCTATTGCTAGTTTTGAACAAATTTGTTAAAACAGAGGAGTTGTTTATTATAACAGGGAAAAGCTCCAGGCACAAGGGGAGGGGGCCCTTATAGAATGAGCATAGTTATGATGTCCTTGTATTAGCCCAGGGTGCCTAAAGGCACAGACAATTGCTCTGACTCAGTGCTCATCAGAGGCTTGCAGCTGGGCTGTAGATATCATTCAGGTCAGATGAATTCAGCAGCAGCATCAGAACAGAAACTTGGTTAGAGACCTGTAATTGATCATGAAATACCTGTAAGTTTGCTATTTTACAAAAGTGTTCTCATTATAATTGTGCCCCAAGAAGAACTCGGGAAGCAAAATGAGGAAGACTTGTTTCTTGTCCATTCAACCCTGAGTGGGCAGAGTTTGGCACGCCACCTTTTGTGCACAATAGTCAGGCTGGGTTTTGCCATATTGTGACTGGAAACCCTCCCCACAAAGGCCAGGTAGTTTAGCTGTCTTGTTGGTCCACACACAGAACACATCTTAATACTTCTTTTCTTCCTCTCACCCTTCCCTTCCCTTCCCACCTTCTTACACACAGGCTCTCAGCCGATGAGACCACAATGTGTTTGGGACTTGCTCTTGTGTTCCTAGCCTTAGATGGCCACAGATAGAAAGCTCATTTGTAGATCCTACAAGTGACATTTTTCTGTCAGGAAGTTTGGAAACAGGACCTCTGTGGTCATTTCTCATTCTTTTTTTTTTTTTTTTTTTTTGCAGTACCAGGGCTCAAACTCAGGACCTTGTGCTTGCCAGGCAGGTGCTTATACCACTGAGCTAAATCCCCAACCCTATTTCTCATTCTTTAAGGCTTGACTTTTTTTCTTTACCTCTGTAGGAAAAAAAAGTAGATAAGGGTTACAAAAGAATTTGTGTATGTAGGAGAAAAATTAAAAAGACCTAATATCCAAGTACATAGTGTCTTCTATTCTTGCTAGCCCAAGACAGTTCTTTTTAGATAGATGTGGTGGTATACGTCCATAATTCCAGAACTCGGAGGGCTGAGAGGCAAGAGTTCAGGGCCAGCCTGGGCTACGCAGCAAAAACCTGACACCCTCCTCCCCCATGGAACAGCAAAGATAAAGCACCCAAACCAAACTATAAGACAGTTCTTTTTGCTTTATTTTTGGGATAGGCTCTTACTATGTAGTGCAGGCTGGCCTTGAACTCACTGTGTAGTCCAGGCTAGTCTCAAACTCACAGTGATCCTCCTGCCTCAGCCTCCAGTGTTGGGATTATAGGTGTGTGCTGTCACACCTGACAAAACAGCTCTTACAACTTCTTTTTTCCTTGACTCTGTAGCTTCAGTACCCTTCCTTTCATATGAAAATTCTCTTCTGGGTATAACTAGTATTAGTTGTAGGCAGTATCCCAAGGTAATTCTTTGTATGGCTTTTTTTAAGTATCCCACCCTCATCCCCCTTGCAACTTTTAAGAACTTTTTTTCTTTTTAAATACAGAAGAGTGTGTGGAATTTATCTATGACTGCTGCTGTTAAATTGAATAGGATTGCTGAATAGTGCAGTGTCTTTAAAGAGCGTCTGGTAAGCTGGAGCTTCTCTGGCCTTGCTGTGTCCTGAGACCTTGCTTCTGACCTCAGGACAGCTATGTGGGCTCACAGCCCTGCTCTGGATCCAATTTTTCTAGTTCTTGGAGAACTGTAGTTTGTCCTTTTTTTTTAATTTGCTAAGTAAGTAGTAGATGTGGGCAGCACTGAGCGCAGGTGTGGAAGGAACTCCTCTTAGCCCCTCTCCTTTCTCTCACAGGCGTGTGTGGGGTCTCCTGTCCTGCCGGAAGAGACTGTTGCAGCTTCCCCGCCCCCTCCTTACATGGCCTATGCTGCACAGACTGCGGAGGTAGGAGCGGACCTAAGTGGAGAGCTGCTGCTTTGTTTTTAATTTTGAACCAGTATCAGAGATGGAGATATACTACTCTAAACCTTTTCTTCTTAAACCCAATTATTCTGTATTATATCTTACTTTTATGAGATACAGCAATTTTTTTCATGTTCAAGCTTATTCTTAAGAAAACGCTAATGATGAAACTATGTTGATGATAGTTCTTAATGAAATTTTGAGGTTTTATAATTTATATGTAATGAATTATTTCATTTCTTTTTATTATCAGAAAAAATGCAATTTTTATTTGATTAAAAACTCTTAAAATGTAAGTCAGGTACCTTAAGTGTCCACCAGTAAGGGTACAAGCTATCCAGTGAAGTGTATTTAAGTTTTTGTTGTGTGAGGCATACTTTTATTTTTTTATTTTATTTTATTTTTTTAAAATTTTATTTAAAAGGAAAAAGAGAAAAAACAAAACAAAGCAGTGTAAGGGTACAAGTAATACAGAACTACAAAAAAAAAACAGTAAGAAATCACCGGTTAATAGATTACGTATTATCATCTTAGAGATAGTTGCTCAAATCACAGTATCAAAGCATAAAAAGTGGACATTCAAACAGTGAGACTGCAAACAGTTGTGTTCAATGATCCAACCAAAAACATTAATATGGTCGGCTATTTAACACCCCTAAACACTCTTGCTGTTGTATCATTTAGAACTCTTTTTTTTTCCCTCTCTTTTTTACAACAAAATTTACCCATTTGGGGTTTTATTACTCCTTAGTTCTTATTACTTTTTTGGGGGGGAGAGAATAAAGTCAAATGTGGCAAAACAAAGCTGTCAGTCAAACCAAGGATAGACATAGCACATGATGTAAAACAGAGTACAAGGTTATCAACAATGGTTTTCAACAATGTCTCTTGTTTCCTTAAAAAGAATTGTCTATCTCATTAGATATTATAAAGTTGAAAAAACAGTAGAGAACAAGACCAATAAAACTTAAGCATTGTAAACATTACAGGACTTCCAAAGGAGACAATAGTCAAACCAGAATGGGCATCTTAGTGAATCTTACTGCCTTCAAAATAGTTGCCTATACCCTCAAACTTGATAGTATCATACAGAATGGAACAGAGTCTAATCAGTCAAAACAAGATCGTGGGAGTATTACAGGACTTCAAAACAAGTTAATAGGAAATAAAAAAGTTACTATTATATACCCTGCTAATTTTTAAAATTTTTCCCCTTAATTAAAAAACCATAAAAAATAACTAAATAATTTTTTAATGAATAAGGCAGAGATTGAGATAAAACAGGACATAACAATATAACAATACAGGTCAAAGCATGACTGTTTCAGCAACCTAGTGCTTCACCACCAAATAACCCGACTTAATAGTAGTTACCATAGTGTCTGTCTTTTTCCTTGAAATATTTGAATAAAACTTCATATACTATAGCTTCAAGTATTTCCATATCAAAAAGCCCAGAATAAAGCCTTTCCAATTAATAAGTGAAAACTTTATAAGGCTTCAAGGCCACATAATGGGGAATCATGATTACCACGTATTTTTATATATTTGAATCATTACTTACATTAGGGAAACTATTTGGTATTCATACATGCGAGATTGATTTATTTCACTTATGAGTATGGTCTCAAGCAGTGCCCATTTATTGATAAATATCTCAATGTGATCCTTCTTTATAGCTGAATAATACTCCATTGTATAGAAATACCACAACTTTTTTATCCATTCCTCAGACACTTGGGTTGTTTCCAAGATCTGGCGATTACAAATTGTGCTGCTATAAACATAGGTGCACATATATCACTGTGGTATGAAGTTTTCAGTTCTTCTGGGAATATGCCTAGAAGTGGAATAGCTGGAATAAATGGGACTTCCAATCCCAGCTTTTTGAGAAATCTCCAGACTGACCTCCACAAAGGCTGCACCAGTCTACACTCCCACCAACAGTGTAGGAGAGTTCCTTTTTCCCCACAGCCTCTCCAGCATTTGTTGTTGTTGGTTTTCTTGATCCTGGCCATTCTTTCAGGAGTGAGATGGTATCTCAGTGTGGTTTTAATTTGCATTTCTCTAATGACTAATGATGATGAACATTTTTTCATGTATTTATTTGCCATTTGCATTTCTTCATCTGAGAAGTGCGTATTCATCTCAGATTGAGGCATACTTTAAAAAAAAAGAGAAAAAAACCCTTTTGATTTTAAAATAATGGCAGATTCATAAGAAGGTGCAAAGGACAGTATAATTTTGTATACTTCTCAGCAAGTTTCTCCAGATAAAAATCAAACCAGAAATTGGAGTGTGCCATAGTGTTTATGTATAATCCTGTCATTTTATCACATGTGGAGACTTATATAATCACTATTTCAGTCAAAACAATTCTTCACAAAATCTTGATCCTATGACACACTTTTATAGTCATACACTCTCTTTGCTAACCCACTAACACCAGTATGGCCTTGATTTCTACAGTTTCAGTGATGTTACGTAAATAGAGTCATAGAGTATGTAATCTTTTAATTTGATGGTTTCACTCAGCATAGTACCCTTGGGTCCACCCATGTAGTGTGTGTCAGCCATCCATTTCGTTTCACTGCTGAGTATTGTCCATGGCATGGGTGCACTGTGTGCTATACTGAGTAGTGTTAATTTGCAGGATGTTTCCAAGATTTATGCTGGGTACCAATGAACCTGCCATGAACACTTGTGTACAGGTTGTTGTGCAGGCATAGGTTTTTACTTCTGTGGGATAAATGCTGCATGTGTGATTGCTGGATCGTACGTATGGTTAGTGGATGTTTAGTTTAAAAACAACTGACAGACTTCTTTGCAGTGAGTCTTCTTTTACTTCTCTTCGTGTAGTTTCTGAGCAGTGCAGTTTCTCTGCATCCTTGCCAGCAGTTAATGTAGTTACTGTATTTTTCCTAGTATTGTGGATTGAATCTATAGCCTTGAACATGCTGGACAAGTGTTCTGCCAGTGGACTGTGGCCCCCAGGCCTTTATTTATTTTTTATTTTTTTGGTACTGGGGATCAAGCTCGTGACCTTGTGCTTGCCAGGCAGGCATTTGTGCCACCAAGCTAAGCCCCCAACCCCATGCCCTTTATTTTTTGAGACAGGGATCTTGTCAGGTTGCTCAGGCTGGCCCTTGAACTTGTGACCCTCCTGCCTCAGTCTTCAAGGTAGCTGAAGTTATGGGTGTATGCCTCCGTGCTGAGTCTTGTCGTTACTTTTTGTTTTAATTCTTCTAAAGTATGTAGTGATATTTCATTCATCGTTTTAATTTGCATTTCTCTAATAGCTATTGATGTTGATCATCTTTTAGTATGATTATTTGCCATTCTATTTTCTTTGTAATGAAAATGTCTCTTTATATCTTTTCTTGTTTTTTTTTAATTACATTTCTTTTAATACTGAGTTTTGAGCATTCACAGATACGATCTATAGCTTGCTTTTTTATCCTCTTAGTGAAATCTTCTAGAGAGTTTGAAAGTTTGATGCATTCCAATTCATGAGTTTTTCCTTTCCCCTATGCTTTTATCATTATGTTCAATGCTTCCTCTGGTCAGGTGTCCTAAAATTTTCTTGTGTTTATCTTCCAAAAGTTTTATCGTTTCAGATTTTCACATACAAGTCTGTGACCCATTTTGACTTAGGTTTTATAAAGTTTGGGTTTGTTTGTGAGTTCTTTGTTCTGCCCCCTTAATCTCTGTGCTTATCTTCCTCTCATGCGACAAGGTCCTAATTATTGTAATAAATTCCAAAAATTTGGTAGACTGCTCGTCTACCCAGCCCCCTTTATTATTCTTTTTCAGAATTGCCTGAAATGTCTTTCCATTGTGTTTCCCTATAAATTATAGTTAACTTATCTGTGTCTACTGCAAAATCTTGAAAGATTTTGGACAGAAATTGTGCTAAACCTGAAGGTCATGTTTATTTGGAATAAACATCCTTACTTAAGTACTGAAAATGTCATCTTTATGTGTTGCATCTCTCAGACTATGACCATGATCCATGTAGATCCTCTTTGATTTCTTTCATTAGCATTTTGTAGTTTTCATGGTAATAGTCTTGTATAGATTTTGATCTATTTAAATCTTTAATCTTTTTTGAGTCGAGCTGCACCTCCAGCCTCTGCATTACTTGATGGGATCATGTGATTTCTTTCTTCTTTTAGTCTGCTTATATGGTGATTACACTGATTGATTTTCAAATACTGAACCAACCTTGCATTTCCTGGAATAATCTTCACTTGGTCATAGTGTTTTCTTTTCTTTTCTTTTTATTTATTTATTTATTTTTATTAAGGAGAAAAAGAAAGAAAAAACAGAAATAGGGTACAAGTTATACAGAATTTCAGAAAAAATAAATAATAGGAAATCACTAGTTAATAGATTACATATTGTTATCTTAGAAATAGTTGTTCAAGTTACAAAATTAAAGCATATAAAGTGGACTTTCAAATAATGAGACTACAAACAGTTTTGTTCAATGATCCAACAAAACTCAGTAATATGGTTATCTATCTTATACACTTAAATACATATGCGATTATATTCTTTAGAGCACTTTCTTTTCCTTTCTTTTGTACAGTGACAATTACACATTTTGGGTTTTATTACTCCCACAGTTCTTATTACTTTTTTTTTGAAGAGAGTAAAACCAAATGTGACATAACAGAACAGAATCAGTCAAATCAAAAGGATGAGATGTTTTCTTTTTTTATTGAGGAATTCTATTTGGTAATATTTTGTGAGGAATTGTTGTATCCATATTAATGAGCAATATTGGCTTATAGTTTTTTTGCACTTTGTTTTGTTTGGGTATTCATGACTTTTTAATAGACTACAAGGTATGATTGAAATACAGTAAGTCCCTGACTTACTAATGAGTTTCATTCTAGGAGAAATTTGTAAGATTCAATTGTAAGTCTGACAAAGTGAGTCTTACACACCTTTGACACAATCTATACAATGTAAAGCAT